TCTAGACCCGATGACATCACCTCCTCCCAGTGTCAGACCCCCTGTGACTGGGGGGTCCGGTGTCAGTGACTCACCGGGCTGGGGATCCCGTACTTTCCTCCCTGTCCCCTTGATCTTTCAGATGAAGAAGCCTCAAATGACTTCTTTATCACCTTTTGTATTTGGAGGAGTCTCTCTCACTAAACATTTTATTAGTTGAGTTCTCCAGAGGAAGAACAAATAATATTTTACAAGTTGGTCTCTAATTAAAAAACTAATAAAACCAAGCTGTGGGAAAGCCCAAAATGAATGATAGTCCAAATAAAACACAAGCTAGCACAACCTAATGATAACACACAGGGCTTTCAAAGAAAAGTCCTAAGATTTATTTTTTTTCCCTTTCATTGTTTTATCTTTGTTAAGTAGACATTTCTGTTGGAAATTATAGATAGGATTGTTAATTATACCCAATGTAGTACTATACAAAAAAATTTCCCTTCTTATTTCTGAGCACATAGTCTGGAACAACTTTTGTGTTAAATTCGATACATTTTTAAGTACTCAGTGCACACATTTCTGTTGAGAATAATTGAGTTTCAGAAATTTGGGGGATTATGAAGGAAAACAGAAGAGGGTAAATATAACTCATATTTATTGGGCTCTGGTGTGTGTACCCAGAACACTTCCTATATTCTTTAAGTGGTAGTAGGGCCCAAATTGTTAACATGAAATTAATCATGTAACTAGAATTGAGAAGATTTGGGTTATATTAAAAAAGCCTCCCTTCTTCGTTTTGTGATCCAATTTCAAAATTTAACTTAAAAAAAAAACTATACTCTTCTCCATAAATTAATTTTTTTTTCTGGTTCTATCACTAAGGTTGAAATCCATGATACAAGGATCTCCTTAAAATCTGCCTGGGAGGTGCCTGGGTGGCACAGTCGGTTGGGCGACTGACCACTGGTTTCAGCTCGGGTCATGATCTCGGGTCGTGAGATTGGGTCCCGTGTCAGGCTCCGCGCTCAGCGTCGAGTCCGCTGGGGTTTCTCTCTCTCCCTCTGCTCCTACCCCCGACATGTGTGAGCTGGCTCACTCGCTCTCTCTCTCAAATACATAAATAAATCTTAAAAAAAATTTGCCTGGGACAGTGTCCCATGTGCCTTCCTGTTTCCCAGCTTCACCACCCCAGTTCTGTCTAGAAACCCAGGACAGGTTACTTGGCCAGAGGCTCCTGCTCAGCTTTGTGAAGTCTTGGAGGATCTTTCTGCACACTCCCTTTCCACTGGCAACTTCAGCCCTTTTTCTATTCGAACCCCTCCCTCCCACCTCCTTTCTTTCTTTCTGTCAATAACTAGGCCTATTCATTCATCAATACCCTTTAAGAATTATTTTATTTTATTTTTTTAAGAGAGAGAGCGAAGAGTGCGGGGGAGGAGGGGCAGAAGGAGAGGGAGAGACAGAATCCCAAGCAGGCTCCACGCCAGCATGAGGGGCTCCATCTCACGACCCTGAGGTCATGACCTGAGCCGAAATCAAGAGCTGGACACTCAGCTGACTGAGTCCCCCAAGCGCCCCAAGAATAATTTTAATCTCCTTATACCTTTAATAGCTAGCTTTAGTCATAAGCTGCTCTTATTTATTTTAATTTAATTTAATTTTATTATGTTATGTCAGTCACCATACATTACATCATTAGTTTTTGTTGTAGTGATCCACGATTAATTGTTTTCGTATAACACCCAGGGCTCCATGCATAGGCTGCTCTTAAAACATATGATCTGAAAATATTTTTAAAAGCAGAGGAAAAAATGTGTCTCTACACAGTCTAAGTAGAAACGTGAAGTGAGATTTTTCACACGACCCAGGATTTCTTTGTTCTTTTAAACATTCAGAAAGATGTCCGTTTTCATCTACTTTGAGGAGGAAGGCATTTAAAAAAATCTAAACAAACTTACTTCATTGAAAGCCATCTTCTTTACTTCTGTCAGCCCATCGGAAGGCTGACCTGCTCATCTCTAGTTTAAAAGAGAGCCTTCTGATTGCGTCCATTGGCACCTGAAACGTGGAGAATCAACTTTGAAGCTGGTGCTAGAAAAAATAATTCTACTTTTCTTTTTACAAATAAATCCAAAAAGATTAGATTTTTTTTCGGTCTTTCTTCAGAGGCAATTCCTCTTACGGTTTGGTTTTTGCCAGCCTATTTCTTTCTTTTTCTTTAAGATTTTATTTATTTATTTGACAGAGAGAGAGAGCACAAGCAGGGGGAGCGGCAGAGGGAGAGGGAGAAGCAGGCTCCCCGCTGAGCAGGAAGCCCGATGCGGGGCTCGATCCCAGGACGCTGGGATCATGACCTGAGCCGAAGGCAGACGCTTAACCATCTGAGCCACCCAGGCGCCCCAATAGGGGACCTTTCTGAAGCCCTGAGGCTTCTTGTCCAAGCCAGGTTTCTAGCTTTCCAAGACCCTCATTTCATTCTGCTGCCCACTGTATACCCTCCCCTCTATCCCCCCCAACTTTCTGTGTTCAGAACTTAGAATGGGCGGTGGACAGGGTTGGCAGCCTTAGGAACATCTGGGTATCCACAAATCATCATGAAGACTGCCACCGCATAGTGTTGGAAGGGCCCTTGAGGAATTAGGTCCCAGATGAGGAGCCAGTCTGGGTCCAAACTCTGGACCAGGAATTTGAGACCATGGGCCTCGGTACCTAGCACAGCTAGTCCCATAGGGCCATTTGCACTGAAACGGGTGTTGCCAACAATAAGCACTTGGTATGTTTTCTTTCTCTCCCATCATATTGTTAGGATCTTCAGCTACTTCCCAGTTGAGGAACTTGTTCCCTGGGCAGCCCATTATCACTTCCTGGGAAGAAAATAAGCTTTTAAATATGCATTCTCCTGCCCAAGTGTCTGTCGGCATCAAGGAGGGATGAGAGGCACCTTTAGCCCATTCGCGACTTCACAGTAGGGGGACTTGAGGGCAAGGGGCAAACAAAGCGTCAGCATTGAGGACTTCTGGCTTAGTCGTGGATTACGTCATGCTTTGGGTTACCACAGCTGCGGAGTTAGGGGACTTGGTTTGTAGAAGACTGACACCACATTTCCACATTTGGCAGTAACCTTAACTGCCAAATCATTCTGCCCACCTGGGTGGGTCAGCCGTCCCTGTCCCGTTCTAATGTCCGTGCTGCCACCCAGTGGCTTCCCTGAGTAATGACACATTTCCCTGGCCTGCAGCGTGCTCATCCCTGATTGAGAAAGGCGATATTCAAAGAGCGCAGGCTAACCCCCTGGGGAATGGTTTCCTGCTTGCTTCCATTCCATTCAAGAAGACACTTCTCGGGGCGCCTGGGTGGCTCAGTTGTTAAGCGTCTGCCTTCGGCTCAGGTCATGATCCTGGGGTCCTGGGATCCAG